TCAGTGTTGCCTCCTATTCTTCTCCAGTTACTTCTTGGTTCATGTAATGTTGATCCTTCGTAGAAGATTTCATAAAACGTGAAGCTAGATTCTGATTTCAGTTGCATTGGTGTGAATCTGGAGAGAGTCTGATAGATAGATGGCACTAGAAAGTGATTGCTTTCCACCTGTGAGAGACGATAAGAACAACTTGTTTGTACAGAATGAACATTGCATTTGTTCATGTGAAGAATCTTGTGTGGGGAAACAATTTTCTTTTTAATTCTGAATGTGGTAAGGATAGTGATAGTGTGTGCCTCTGAGAGTGATTCTGTAGTCCAGATCCAGCTCCTGTTCTTGTTCATGAGGTGCTCTCTAATATTTAACACCTTTTGGGTTTCTAATGGAATACTGTTTTCAGGGTCAGCCGTGGGTATAGAGGGAGACAGGATCTGTGAGAAAGCTAAGTATACTTCTTGTGAAGGTTTGAGCACCAGGGAAAGATCTTTATTTGAAGCTACTATATTCAGCCTGGAACTAATGGCTAACATTGAGCTAATAGTAATAATGGTCACCTGTTAACTGTGCTAAATGTGAGTATTGTGCTGATGGACACCTGGGTTGCAAAATGAGGCAGTTGCTGCACTTCTTCCCCACCTCTGTTATGAGACTCATCCTACCATATTTAATTGTAACCAAGTAGGTTATGATCAGCAGTACTATTATGTCTATTTCTTCTATTTTTATATATATCTTATAAATTCTGTGTGCATTGTTAGCTTTCTTCTTTTGTGTTACGAAAATGGGGTACACATCATTATCATTGTGCGCTTTGGAGTTTTGTTTATTCTGGAGATTTTGACTGTTGGATGTTACTAGGGATCACTATGTGGGAAGTGGCTCTCGATTTTTTTTCTTCCCCCCACCTCCCTTGTAGCTTAACAGAAGTGAAATATTTAGGCAGTGCTGGGTACAGCTGCATGTAAAATTAGCATATACCAATCAACTCCAGCACAGTTTGCACCAGAGTCAGCTGTTCCTGGGTGCAGTGTCTTCACGTGTGCCTGGGACTGGAGCTGTTTGAGCTGTGGCAGAGCAGTTCTGGGCTGACAGGTGGCCCTCAGGGTTAGCCTCAGGCTCCAGGTGGCAGTGTAGGGTGGTGTCAGGGCTGGCTGGGGCATGAGTGTGCTACCGTGCAGGATTAGCCAGAAGGCAGCCTCTACATTGTAGCACCTTTGTGCCCCAGCCAGCCTTTGTTACTGTTGTTTCAGTGCATGAAATGACTCTGCTGTAGGATAGTATTTGCTCTGGATAGTACTATTCTACAGCGGAGTAATTTCCAGCATCCTAATATGGGCACACATGTAGATATTGACACTTTACTGTGGAGCTTATTATTCAGGTCCACAGTAAAACGCATGTGTAGATGCACCCACTGTTTCTAGAAGATAATGTAGCTAAGTGAGGTTGGTATAAAAAGAGTAACAGTGCATTAAAGTAGTGGTAATTCTGTTTCCTGAGATGTCTGTAGTTTGTCAGACTAATTTTATGGGTTTTTTTTTCTGTCCTAAGGGCTACTTCTTATCTTTTTGACGTTGGTTAAACTTCCTTTTGAATCTCTTGCATGTAGCTTCCCTGTTCTATCTTTTTGTTAGGCCAGCCTTTTTAATAGCTGTCTGTCTTTTGTAGCGGAACACACTACAACTTTTATCTTTGAACTAATTATGCCTTTCTTCACACTGGACACATCTACATATGCAATTAATGCACATGAATTTTCTGCGTGGAAAATACAGGCTCATTAATGTGTCCCTGTTGGGAGCAAAACGCTTAGCATAGCAGGTGTTGTGCCTGACAGGAGCAGCTCAATCCAGGGCTGCTTGTGCCCTGCTTTGCCCCCCTGCAGCAGCCAGTGGGAGCTCCAGGCTCCCCCAGGGGCTGGCAAGAGGTGCGGCGGCTGGTTCCGAGCTCTGTCAGGCAGGGTGAGCGCTGTGCTGGCTGCAGGGGCAGCTGTCTTCCTGGCCATGTGAGGATTGGGAAGGGTCCTGATGCTCACATGGCCAGGAGACCTATGGCAACTACAGGGGGAGAAGGGGGTCGGGACTGGTCTTGATCCCCATGCAGTTGGGAGAGGTGTGTCAGCTGCAGAGGCAGCTGTTTCCCCACCACGTGGGGATTGGGACCTGCCCTGACCCCCACATAGCAGGGAGACAGCTGCCCCTGTAGCTGCCACAGCTACATTGGGGCTTAGCTAGGCAGCAGTGTGCCCCCTGCTGTCTGGGCTGACTGGGTGCAAATTGATCTTGGGCACACTTTACATGCTCTACGGTGCATTAGCTAATGCACTGGTTATCTAGTACCTGTATGTGTTGGTACTAGCAAATGGCGCATTAGACTAATCTAATATGAAGTAAGTCCCATGCACATATAGATGGTGATGCTTTACTGCACATTATACTAGTCTAATGCATAGTAGATCATCTTGTGGAGATGCACTCACTGAGTATAGTTGTGCTATCTCCCAATTATAAAACTCATCATATAATGATTCGTAACTTCAGTTAAGTTCTCTTCTTCTGCCACTTCTCAATAAGGAGGTAAAGGTGTTTTTGAGAACTGAAATATAGTTTTTTTATACAGGACTGTATTTTCCAAAAAGGGAAGCTTTTTCAGCGGAAATAAAGGAACGGTGCATTAAGGATATCCTTAGGTAGGTGAATTATCTGAGATATCCAGAAGGCTTATAAGCAAGTTCAGAATGTGCCTTCATTTTTCGTTAAATTCATTTTGCCAGAACTATCTGGAGGACTAAAAGCAAATGCTTGATATAAGATGCACAGATGGCAGGGATCTAGAGTTCTGTTTACTCCTTTGTTAAACATTACCAGCTGGAGGTTTGGGCATCTGCTCAAGCTGCTTTTAGGAAGAGGGTACAGCAAGCATTGTCTTGTAACTGACCCAGCCAGTGAGTTTTGGATCTGTCAGTTGTTCCCAAGAGTCCTGACTGGTATGGCAAACAAATCAGATACAGAATTTGTCTGTCTATAAAATTGTTCAGATTGTTCCTCTGCACTAGTCTGAAAATGCTCCCATTAAATATTGTATATATTGATTCTCCTTTATGATGAAAACTCAATTAAAAATGCAGTGGTTTTTTTTAGTATTTTAGTTTTTTAAAATTGGAGGCATCATTTTCAAACTAAGCAACAAACTAAGTTCAGTTCAGTTTGGATATTTCCAACTGATGGTTGAAAGGTGATACAGTAATAAAGATTTATGATCTGAATTTTAGAAAGCAAAAATTCTACTTCTCTGCCTTTTGCATTCTGACATAGGACAACTTCTCCTTCTGTCTTTTTCTGATAGAAGCCTGTGTTATGTGACCTAACTGAAAAACTGCTATTAATTTCCCTACCTCTGTTAAAGTGTTGTCACTTTTGAACATTGTTTCCCTGCCATGATCCTTTCCAGTTTTGAGTTTTTGCTTCCTTTTTTCCATCTCCTTTTCTCATGTTAGTTGTGCCCTCCTTAGTATGCTTTGTTACATATCTTCAAGTGCATAACCAGCAGCTTAATGCCCAGTGCATTTTTATTATTCAGAACAGTTGTTATAAAACCATGCTTGTAACTTTTATAAAACAACTGACAGGATCTTGCTTGTTGCCCCCCAAAAAGATTACCTTGACTAAAGAAGAGGAAAGGTGAAAATTCCACTAGTTGAGACATGAGTCTCAGGGCTTTGTTATACATTATATTTTAAGCTTCTCGAATTCTGATCAGTAGTAGTGTTAGCTCAAGTTTAGAGCAGTCACTTGTTCAGGCTAAAAACCAACTCTGTACCCAACTTGCACAGGGGTGGCTTGCCACTAGAGGTCTGGAGAGCAGGGGTCTGGCTAGAAGCTACAGCTGTGAGTTGCTACTGGAGGGTTGGTGATCCAGGACAGGGTTTTATCGCTCCTGATTCTGGGGGTCCCCTAGTAGGCGATTGCTGATCCCAGAAATGCCCGAGGCAAAAACGGAAGTGCTACTGGCACTTCTCTTAGCACCCCAACTCCCTGGCTGGTGAGCGCCAATCTTGGGGCACATGAACCCCCCCATGCTCCTCCTATGCATTGCCTATGGTAGGGATGGATCATAAAGATGGGTTGATGAGGGTGGGAGCATGAGTCTGAAAGGGGGAGAGTTTAATGATGGAGACTGGGGAGAGTAGTGGGAGGTGGAGAGATAATGGGAGGGAATGGTGGCTGGGGGCAGGGTGGTAAAATGAAGTCAGTCAGCCACTGAAGCCCCTAAAGGATAAAAATGAAATGAAATAAAAAAGTAATAAGAAATTAAAGAAAATCTTATATTTTTAATAAATTGGGATTATGATTGGAATGGAATTGGGACTGAGCAGCCCTAGCTCTTGGGGATACTGCCTCTGCCCCAGGAGAGAAGCCTCAGCTCACGAGCACCCTGATATGGCTCCCTACCTTGCTTCCCTCTCCACCCCCATTAGCCCTCCTTCCTGAACCAGTCTGTGGCCCTTCAAGTTACCTGGCTAGGTCACATTTTCACCAGTGGGATGGGTGGCTGTCTTGGTGCCAGTGCCACCTTCTGGACAGTAGAGTTCAGGGGGTGGAAAATGTATCCACACAGAATAGGAGCGTAGGGGGAGGGGACACTGCAGCCTGGGATGTTGGAGGACTGAAACTTGGGCAATTTTTATCTCTGAGTGGCCCCATTTTTTGAACATGAGCTGGGAAGCACTGATGAGAAATAAACCTGCCCTGCTGTGGCGTCACTCGTTTACATGTCTTAATGTGCAGACAATCCAGGGGTTAAGAGCTCCTTGAGCCACCTAAAATTTATGTGCAACAAGGCCCTTGTGAGATTTCTAATGGAAACTGTGACAGTTTTATAATGTTGATGATTAGTGCCATCATTATGATTATGCAGCCAGCTCTGTTTGCTGAAACTAAGAGGATTGTGTGCAAACCTCCAAGTACAGTTTATTATAATGTCTTGATTTCTTTTCTTAGGGGTATCAAGGAACAGCAGGAACTCCAGGAATCCCAGGAAACCCAGGGATTCAAGTAAGTTCCTGTGTCTCTTTCTGCAATATTAATGTCTGAGCCAAATCCTGTAAGAAATCCTCCAGTTTTCATTTATTTTAATGAGAGTTCACTGTGGGCAGCACTTACATGTTCTGAACCTTTCTGTTAAAGACCTGAGTAAAAATATTTAAATACATGTTTTTATTTTTTCTTTCTCAGGGACAACGTGGCATACCAGGAATCAAGGGTGAGCCAGGGAAAGATGGTTTAAAGGTAAATGGTGATTTTAAAACTCATAGTTCTTGATTAGTGCAGTTTAACATTCTCACTATTTCCATTATCAATATGCAACTAAAAGGCTGTTTACTAGCAAGATAGTAAAGTCAGAACTTGCATTTTATGCTTAGAATGATATTTATATTGTGAATAAGATCTACAGTCTTTAACTTAACTGCCTGTATACAAACTCAAGGAGCTTGGGAAACAAGCATGACGAACTGGCCCTTCTCCTGTGTGATGTGATGATGACTACACCCTGGAGGAATTATGGAGACCTGTTGGGACTCCACCTATGATTCGTCAGTGGCAGTAGAGGGTTATACCTTGTATAGGAGAGACCATGTGGGGAAGATGGGTGGGGGTATTGCTCTCTACGTCAAAGATCAGCTCACCTCCCTGCAGATTTGGGTTTCCAAACCAGGAAGGGCATCTTGAGACCCTCTGACTTACTTGTAGAAGTCCACTATAGACACTCCCACCAAGAGGAAGATGTAGATCGGGAATTCATTAGGGAACTGGTCAAAGCTGCATGCTCCCAATGCTTGATCATTGTGGGGGACTTCAACTTCCCTGACATCTCTTGGGGTGAGCACATGGCCAAATCTGACAGGTCACATAGCTTTCTTCCATGCATCGAAGACCTCTACCTAACCCAGGAGGTCTATGGACCAAC